GAGATTGGTCTAGATTGGTTAAACTATTTTGATCATTCTACCAAGCGTCGTACAAGAGGGGTCTATCGGCTACTTATCCTTGACGGCCACGAAAGCCATTACTCGGTTGACTTTGAGGATTTCTGCAAGGCCAACAACATTGTTACACTCTGCATGCCTCCCCATTCATCTCACTTCCTTCAGCCTCTCGATATAGGATGTTTCAGCCCGCTTAAGGCCGCGTATGGCAAGCAAATCGAGAAGATGATGCGGATGCGAATCACTCATATCTCGAAGGAAGACTTCTTTGACGCATTTGTTGAGGCATTCCATGCCTCAATCACAGCGAACAATATACAGGCGGGCTTTAGAGCAGCTGGCCTCGTCCCTTTCGACCCCGAATCTGTAGTTTCTCGCCTCGACCCTAAGCCCAACACCCCATCTCCTCCGAGCTCGCGTCCTGGAACAGCTACATCTTGGGTGCCCAAGACACCCTCCAACGCGCAGGAAGCATCCTAAGCTCTAGCACACTCAAGCGGAAGATTGAAAACCATCAAGGTAGCTCTCCCATTCACATTTTCGACATTATCGACTTGCAAGCAAAGAGCATCTCGATGTTAGCGCATGAGCTGGTGTTGCTCCGAGCTGAGACCAAGGAGCTCCGTAGGGCAAATGAGCGGCAAAGCAAGCGACGTAGGACCAAAAAAACACGTTTGCAAGATGGTGGATCACTTAGTCTACAAGAGGCGACAGTTTTAATGGCCGAACAGGGACTTGGTGGTCAGGATTGTAAGGAAACGTCTGGGAGTAGTGGTTGTAGTACTGCGGCTACGCCACACGTTCGGCTCTGTAGCAACTGCAAGAAGCCCGGCCATAATGCACAAACTTGTCAGGTAGTTGCAAGGACGTCTGATGAAAGCGAGTCTGAGTAGTTTCAATTACTTAGAGGTATTGTGGTTGAATTGACTTATACAAAGCAATGCAGGTGCAAGAAAAGTGCGCAACTCGTTATGCTGCGCAACTCGTTATGCAAGTAC